GGCGGGGTGAGCTGTCAGCTGGCCGGCGGCCTCGGGCACCCCCCGTCCGAGTTACGGGGAGGGGGGCCGGGACGGGCGGGAGCTGCATCTCGGGGGAGCAGTGCTACCTGCCGCACGGCGAGTGGGAGGTGGAGGAACTGGTCCCCGCGATTATCGTCTCCCTCATCAGTCAAGCAGATCAGTTATGAAAATCTACGTACGGCATTGGGGGGCGGGGGGGCTGGTTTCTTTGTTTTCAAGGAAAAGGGCTCAAAGCAGGAGTCGAGGTTGTACGCCTACATCAACAAAATGAGTTAACCCCGGAAGGGGGGGGGTATTTATTTATGTCTTCTGGAGAGTTTCCTCTTGGTGAATTTATTTCGCTCTCTGCTCTGTGAAAGAGGCTATAAGTCGTATGATTATAAGATTTAGGTGGCATAATGCCAGCTGTTCAGAAGATGTTACTATAAACATGTCGGCATAGGTAACTTTCATGCATGTTCGGTAGAGCCATGAGCATGCCATCCCTTTGAGTTACAGAGGGGAATGAGCCAGATTATTAATTTATACTGCCATAAAGCTTGCTGTGTTTTGACAGTTGGTTCAATTAAAGCTTACAACAGAATAACAACTACAGTACTATTAATGGCGTTGAGGAACGAGAGAAATAGAAAAGCTTCAGTTGCCGGAGAATTGCCAGGAAGTGTGTATGTGTTCATCGGTGTATACGTTAAAAAGAAGATACTTAGTTGAGTCACTGGCTTTTAAGGTTTAGCGTTAACTTTTTGATGCTACGTCTGATCCCAGTAGGCAGTAGTGTGGAACTAATGTGCCTTGCCTTTATAGAGAAACTGGACATACCTGTTTATCTTATTTCACTGGCAAGGAATATATCAATATATTTGCTTCATCAAAACTCTTGCTGGTGAAATTAGAGAATTCTTTATATTCTCAGCAGCTGGCTTAATCATAGCAATCTGATTTATACTGTTTTCCTCTTACTCTCCTCTACTTTTAATCATTGACAGTTGCATTTAGTGGTAAAAGTCAAAAGAAAAAAATGGGCTATGAAATTATGATTTTTAGCTGATGAAAGTTTTTTGATCTTCAAATTGTATTTATTTCTTTAAACAGCCTTTTTTAAGAATGTCAACTCTGTTAGGATGTGTTGGATTATAGGAATAAAGAAGACGACTTACTGCAGCGTGGCCAGGGCTTTACTAACAAGTAGTAGGAAAACCTGTACAAAAATAAACCGTGACAAAACCAATATGTTTTATAACAAACTACACCAAAAATATAGCAGTCTTTTAACTTGATAAACAGATTAATGTACTGCAACCATGAATATGTAGATATGGGTCAGCCAACAAAGGCAGACTTAACAATGGGATAAACTTTAGTTTGTGTTTTACTTTTTTCAGCACTTTTATAAATATGCATATGAAATTAGTTTGGGGGGTGAAGAATGCTTGTACAGAGCCCTGCTCTTACATAGAGTTAAACATTGTCATCAGGTTTTTTTCTTCTGAAACTGTTTTTGCTAGCATTGTCTTTCCTTTCAGTTGCTTAGAGAATGTCTAGGTTAAAAGTTTAAAAAAAAATTATCTTATCCCTAAAATAATTCAATAAGTAAATAGGTATCAAGGCCTACACATCTTGAATGTTTGGTTACATCTGTTGACTTCAATTTTTCAGGTGTTCCTTTCCACAGATTTTCTTTCCTAAGACATTTTGTTGACAATCCTGTTGATAAAGCATTTATAGAAAAGAAGCGTGTACTCAGTTGAGAGATTTGGAGTGGTTTCTCTTTCATAATTGCAGAAGGCAATAGCCATAGTTCATGTAAAAATCTTAATGTGAATTTTGTGGAGGCCTAGGTGCTTGTGTAGCTTTGGTCCTGCGAATAGTGCCAGTGACTGCAGCAGGATTATTCATGTCAATGAGGTTGCATTTGTGTGTGGGTAGAGTCTATATTTAGAAAGCGTACTATGCGTACTTCAGCTACTGATCTTCACTCTTTTATCTCAAATTTGGTGGTTCTGCTCTTCAATTCTGAATTAAGGAGTGCTTCCAGAGGTGACTTTGTAGGCTGCTTCGATTTGTCTTCTTATTGATCATCTTTCCTCAGCAGGTCTACCGGTTTTAGATTAGTTTGCTTCGTGCATGGAGGTAGCTATTTAGGAAGCTATAATAACTATTATATTAAACTAGAAGTAGCCGAGTTGGAGAGGTAAGGTTCCTGGAACATAGCAGTGTTATGGTAACTCCCTCCATGTAGGTTCTGTCTCTTTAATATTTTCTATTTTTTATAATATTTTTTATATTTCTGTTATTGTTATATTTTACAGTAGCTAAAGGAAAGGAGAAATAGTAATTTGCAAAATATTACTACTCCAAAGTTTTCTTTTTCTACCTTATTAGAAATTAAGTAGAAAGTGACCAAAACATTTGAAAACCACCAATGTTGTACCTAGAGATCTTAATGTTTTGGAATTAGTTTTATTCTAGATTCCTTCTTTATTATTTCTTGCACTTTGTGGCAGATTATCTGTCATCCCAAGAGTCTATTAATATTTGCTAGCTCCTGGTATGTGCTCTGATGTGCTTTTTCTTACCTCAAGGGCAATGACTGTGAGTATGGGGCGTACTGTTGCTGAAGTTGATTGTAGAGTAATCAAAAATAGTTGAGCAAAATAGTTTTCTATACATTTAATCTTTTCCTTATTTAAAAACTAACTTCTTAGAAAGAAGTTTCTTGTGTTCTCTTGTTGGGCTTGACTTAAACACAGTGATGATCTTTGCATCAGAAGTAGTCCAGATGAGGATGCATTCTTTTTTGAGACTTCGGACTTGGGCATTTTTTTTAAATCTGGAAAGAATAATAGAATTTTTTTTTATGAAAGTTTACTGTATATTCAGTAGAGCAAACTGATGAGGTTAAGCTTGTGCAGTTAAATAACCTTAGGTACCACCGTAGAAGACTTCCATTGTGCTACTTTCAATAACCGCTTATGGCACTTTTAACACCTTCATAATATATAGCTCTTCTATATTTGTATAAGGTCTATCCAGATGGCTTTCAGAGTGGCATTAGAGTTAAAGCGCGAAATGGAATAGTGTAAGAGGGCTTTTACGTGAGCGTAGGTTCTTTTTTCTTAAGCAGTCTTTAAACTTTCTTGTTTCAAATTCATACACACTGCAACAAATAGGAATATGTTGTGGTTGGACGCTAAAAATAACAAAATAATTTCTGAAATGTCGAGTAATTGTTAGTGATGTAAGTTGGGTATAGTTTGTAAGTATTTTTTTTAATTACTCGGAGGAGTGCAGTGGTATTTTTGCTGAACACACAGTATGTGCATTGTGCAAAAATGCAAGTTTGATACTCCTACAAAACATGAATTAATTGCACCTGTTTTGGAGAAGTGTTGGTGGTTGTTTTCTTCCCTTCCCTCCTTTAAAGTACTCTCAGGGTCTCAAATTGGCTCTTGTTGCTTAACTCACAGTGAGCCCGTTACTGCTGGCTAAAGCAATACTTTAAAAGCTCTCAAACAAGCTTGCAGCAAATCTAATTTTAAGATGATTTAGTTGATCTGTGAAAAGTGGCGCCAAAGAATGCTAGATTTGCACTTAAAACTTTTGGAGATACGTGATGTCTATAATGGAGATCTAGCATGTATAAATTATGTTTCCTGCAAGTGTATTTGAGCTGTTTTGCTGTGACTGTGTAGCTAGTGGAAAATAGCAGCTTTAAATGTGTTTTGATGGAAAAGTTGTACAAAGTAAAAAAAAAAAAAAAATGCACATTTCTTACAGAAATAAACAGTATGTGAGAATTCTGAAAGCATTTTGGGAATTCTTTTTCAAAATTTTTACAAGTAACGTTAAGCTGTGTTGAATGAACTTTTTTGCAAGAATTCATCCTTCTCTCAATGCAGTATGTCAGTTGTCACCATAAAATTGGTTGGACAGATCTTTCTGAAAACCAGCATGACCCGATGGAGGTTATTGGGTTTCATCTTTACAGTTGGGGGTTTTTTTTGAGTGCTTTTAATCATTTTCATTTCCTGCAGAGCTGTCTTTCCTCTCTAGAGCAAGGCTACAAAACAGTGTTTTGCCAGTTCTCAGAACTATTCCGATGGATCAGTATTATAAGGTTACATTATGAATTCTGGAAAGCATTTAGAGAGATCCTACACATGCACTTGCGATAGAATGAGTCTTTCAAGTGCGTGTGTATATCTATCTATCTATCTATAAGCTTCACTCATTTGTTTTATTTGAAATATTTGTGCCCAAGAAAATTCTCATTTTGTCTGGTCTTGTGCAAAAAGGCAGACAGCCTTTTGTTTCTTTCAACCCCGTTTATCAATTGATGTTACTTCTTCCTCAAAGAAAGTTCTGTAAACTCAGAAGTAAATGGCTTCAACTCTTCCATGAGAAAGTATTAAGGCTCATATTTTCATTGCCACTGCTCCTTTTTCCTCAGATCTAACAGCCACTTCTTTTCAGGGTTTGTGTAGGCAGAAGGCTTTTATTTCCTTTCTTTCTTTCTCAGGGAATGCTGACTATTTTGGTGGTTTGTTTTGAATCTTGGGGAACTGATGATGCAAGTTGAGATAACGTTTGCTAAATTTATGCTTCAACCTATAATGCGTAGAGCTATCCTGTAAATTTTGTCTTACTGGAGCATCTTACAGCAGATAGACCATAGAAAACACATTGAACTCCGCTTAAATTTTCGAGTGTTCAGATTATGTAAGCAATACGTGTATTTCTGCTTTGGTTTATAACCCTCAGAGCATGCGTGCTGTATCGGTGAGTGAATGGAGAGGCATGGAGGATGGGATGAGGATAGAATTGGAGGATGGTTTACTGCAGGCTTTTTCAGTTGTGATTAAAATAATGTAAACCCACTGAGTGCTGCAAGGCCACCTAGTTAACTTAATGTTTTACATGGTTGGCTTTGTGAATCTTGATTGCCTTATATTCTCAAATATAAGAGCATGTTAGCTATTAACCCATATAGTGTATACAGTACTAATAAATTAATGTTCACAACTAAAATTTTAGTAGGTTTAAAACCTAGAAATAAAACAGACCAAAAAAATAAACCACTGTTTATCTTATTCAAAGGAAAAAGGTGTTGTTTTGCTGTAAGTTACAGGAAAACACAGAAATACTTGCTGTTTACTGGAGAGTTAATCTTATGAAGGCCTTCCAGTTTTCACAGATTTTTTTTTTTTTTAATGAAATGCTGTGAGCAGACTGAATGCCCTAATAC